TGGATTTAATATTCTGTAGATTGAATCAGATTGCAGTTACGCAGTAGATGCGATCAATCTTAACGATGGCTATCAATGGCGTGATGTCGCCACGATAGCAGAGTGCAAAGACTTGATACGGGATTTTGCAAAAGTTCAGTTCACATATTGCTCCAGAGAAGCAAATACTGCAGCACATGGCTTAGCTAAACATTGCTATAATTCTAGATTACCTAGCTTTTGGGACGTTTTTATGCCTGATTTTATTTCTCAGCTTCATATAAGTGATCTATCTATTATATGAGAAATACAGTAGCAATAAAATAAAAAACACTTAGTAAGCAAAATAATAGTTTTTTTTTTGCAATGTGACATCCGTCCTAGCCTAGTCTATATGAAAGAAAAATACAAACATGAGTGCTGCAAATAACTTTTCTGAGACCCAAATCTTTATGATACAGACCATCATGAATGTCTTTTCTTGGCAAAAGATTTCAAGTAGTTAGAGCATATGTTGATGTTCATTAAAAAACTCTCATTTATTACATTTTTTTTGAATTTTGTTATTCATGTTTGTTTGGATTTTGACTATCTTTGCCACATATTGCTACAGTATTATGCCATATTTGTCTTATATGAGGTCAAATTATTAGCCACACTTAAGCTTGCCTTAAAGAATTATGCCAAACTTTTTCTATCTATGACATGTGAGACTTACTGTTAATAAAAGAAACTCTTGCTTTAGTTGTGGCAAGAACCAAACATACATCTAACTTGGTAGAACTTGTCTAAGTCGATATGTGACAAACAGTGGCAAATTGTAGCTTGGAAACAAACCACCCCGAAGTTTGAGTTTGGGAGCATAAAATTCCATGTCATTTATACTTTTCATCCTTTACTTTTAATCGTGTTTAGCGTTTCGGGCTTTATCATCAATTTTACTTAGACAAATTTTGTTATCGACCGACTAATAGATGCGATCCACTCAACTACCACAAGCGTCTGCCACGTGACCTTATGGTGGTGAAAGATAAAGAAATCCATTGATATTTTCTAAGTCTCTTATCAAGTTGCCTTTGTCCTTGCAATTTTCATTTGTTCCCCTCTGCTCGGACAAGTACCTTTGGCTCTCGGGTGTAGGTGCACTAGGGAAAAATAATAATTTTGAAAAATTCAAAAAAATATCAAAATTCTTGGGAAACGAACTTAACCTTCAGTTGTATTTGTCTATATAATAAAAATAGCCAAGGAATGACTTTTATGCTATTTTGGGTGGAAAAAGTCAACACTATATTCCTCGATCAATCGAATTTGGAGATTCTCACATGTTTCATTCAGCCAAAGCAGAATAACATTTCTGAATTCTCAATTCTAACTGGGATTTTTTTTTTATCTTCCCAAAAGGCAGACATTTGTTAAGAGGAAAATGGAAGACAAATATGGATTTTTCTGAATTCTTCCCAAAATGGAAGACATTCCGTCAAGTTACAAACACAGCTTTCTGAATTTTTCAGAACACTGAGTAGAAACGAACATCTTGGATTTTTCAATAGAAAATGTGGCCAAGAGAAATACAGAATCACATGTTTTATTCAGGCAAAGCCGCAGATCATCCCCATTTCCATTAACGAAACATCTAATCTTCACCAGTGCGCAGGAATCGATACGACACACACACACTCTAGCAGATGAGATCAAAAGACACACACTCCATTACTCATCACAGGAAACTCGCTCCCACTCACACTCTGCTTCGATTCGACGCGCACACCATCCATCTCAGCTCAGGCGACCTGGACCCAGTGGCGTAGCCAGGATTTTATGTCAGGGTGGTCCAATTGGCACAAAATAAAATTTACACCACAAATTTAACAAACCAACATATGCACACAGAATATATCCAAAGCACATATCAATAAGGTCTTGCAAAGCATATTAAAATTCATGTTCAAGTCTTACATTTGCATAAAATATGACACACCTTATTTGTCGGTATACCGCCTTCTCAAGACCATGAAAGTCTCAATTATATTATCTTCGGTCACTTTGGAGAAAGCATCTCGTTCGATGTATGTGACTAGGCAATCATCCAAAAGACTATCACCCATCTTGTTTCTTAACTTGTTTTTGACCACACTCATTGCAGAAAATGCTCTTTCAACACTTGCTGTTGCCACCGGTAGAAGCAATACCAATTTTAGAAGCAAGTACACCAAATTATGAACTATATGCCTTCTTGTTTGAACAAGCTTAACTGAGAGATCAACAAGATTTTCTAGGCCTTTGAAGTTGTCATCTTTTCTCATGTCATCAATATAGTTATCAAGTTGCATTTCAAGGTGCATCAAGTCAGAGCTTGAAAAATCATTGGGGTAGAACTCAGCAAGTCTACGTACCTTTTGTGCATCAAAAGCAGCAAATGAGTTGGCGGGATTCAAGGCCGACATACAAGAAAGCAACTCCATATTGACCTCATCAAACCGATTGTCGAGCTCTTGACTGATTTTATCAATAATCCCAATATAAATTTCCCTTCTAAAGTGGTCTGCATTTGTTTGAGGTTGTACAAACCGTGTTGATCTTCCATAAGGGACATAATTATTCTCCATTACAGGAACTTCAATGCCATGTTTGTTGCAAAAGGAAGTGACCTTTTCAAGGAATGCATCCCACCCATTAGACCTCAGTTCTTGCATCCTACTTTTTGCCAATCTAACAAGTGACATTGCAGTAAGAATATCTTGGTCTCTTCTTTGCAAACACTCGGACAAATCATTTGTATATCCAAGAATGAGAAACATCAAGTGTGCATTGAAAACAAAGTCAAATGACTCAAACACTCCAACAATACTATGTATTTTCGGCCATTCAGCCCTTTGTGAAGTATCTTTACCAAGAGAGATGAGCACATCACGAATTTCAGCATACATATCAATAATGTTGCGAACAGTTCTATAATGAGAGCCCCACCGAGTTTCACCCGGCCTAGGCAAGCCCATCTCTTGATTTAATCCAGTCCCAGTTTCCAGTTCACCACATTCAATTGCCTTCATGATATTGTGAAGTCTAACATTTCGAAGCATGTCATGACGCTTACAAGAAACACCAACAATATTCAGCAATAAAGACACTCGATCGAAAAACCACACACAATCATCATTTCCCTTGGCAACAGCAACAAGAACTAGTTGGAGTTGATGAGCAAAACAATGGACATAATAAGCAGAAGGTGACTCTCTCATGATCAATGTTTTTAGACCTTTAATCTCCCCTTTCATATTGCTAGCCCCGTCGTAACCTTGCCCACGAATTTGACTCATGGTTAAATGCTTATCCACAAGTAAATCTTCAATTGCTTCCTTAAGTGACAGTGAAGTAGTATCACCTACATGAACAACTCCAAGAAAGTGCTCACATGGCCTTCCTAGTTTATCAACAAAACGCAAGCACAGAGCCAATTGTTCTTTGTGTGATACATCGCTAGATTCATCCGCTAGAATAGCATAGTGATCATCGCCGAGTTCTTCAATAATTTTCTTTCTAGTTTCTATTGCACAACATTGGATAATTTGTTGTTGTATACCAGGGGAAGTCAATTTGCAATTACGTGGAGCATTATTCAAAACATACTTATTCACCTCTTCACTATTTGTTGCAAGCCATTTCAAAAGCTCAATGAAGTTACCTCTGTTGCTAGACTCTTCATTTTCTCTGTGTCCACGGAAGGCCAATCCTTGATGCAAAAGAAACCTCAAACATCTAAGTGAATAAGTCAATCGGATCTTGTAAAGACGTAGATCCTCATTATTCCCCTTCACCATAATATTATCAATTTGAGAAGCACGGGGGCTAACAAATAAGTTGTATCTCTCTTGAGCTGCCTGGTGCACACTTGCTACACCACCTTCATGCTTTACAAGCGCATCCTCTCTATTCCAAGTTCTCCAACCATCTTCAGTAAATGCATTGGTTCTATTGCCACTGGTTTTTTTATCTTTGAACAAGTAGCACACAAAGCAGAATCCAGCTTTCTTGCTAATACTATATTCAAGCCAATGATGTTTATGAAACCAGAGAGGATTGAATTGCCGATCTCTGCCTCCAATATTTCTGCTTTCAAATTGATGTGCATATGGTTGGAACGGACGCTTGAGGATATATGCTCGTCGAACGGCATCTTGATCATTGACAGGATAAGACGCAATGGGCAGTCTATCCCCCGGATCATGTGGAAGGCGACTAATATCATAAACAGATGGTGGTGGCGGCGACGGCGGCGGTGGCGGCGATGGCGCTGGTGGTGATGAATCCACAATTTCTTCATTTACTCTCTCTTGCACTGATTCTAAGGTTTGTTGTTCCCCTGCGGGCGCTACCGGTGCCGGAGAAGGAGGTGAAAAAGGAGCAGCTACCTTCTTCTTGGATCCATATCTCAAAAAAAGCGATGCAATGTCTCCTGTCCGCTTCATTTTTGCAACAGTTCTACAAAAAAGTTAATACATTAATTCAGTTGGAACAAAGCCCTAATGATTCAATCGGTTCAATTGACTAATCAATTGCAAAAAAATTTAAAGCTTGCACTCTCAACAAACCGTTCAAATCTTCAGAGCAAAAGGAAGTTGTTCTTTGAGTTAGAGAAGAACAAAAATCTTACTCTATACGGGACTGTGTATGGGGCTGTACGCCTGTACCTATGCGTGCGTAGGTGCGCAGTTCCTTCCTCGCCTCGCCGGCCGCCGGGACGGGCGTCCTTCGCTGGCCGCTTGGCCGTTGCCGTCGGCGGGTGCCCTGCCGGACAGCCGGAGTGCCGGCCTTGCGCTGTTGCGCAGTTGCGCTGGGCGATGACGAATTGACGATAGCCGCTAGGGTTTCAGTCCAGAGGAAAAGGAGACGAGTAGACGAGACGACGATCAGCGTACGCGTACCAGGAAACGGAAGAAAGGAGCCAACGCTTCGCATGTACATGGGCTGAGACCTGACTTGGGCCTGGATATGTTTCATTTTTTCAGAGAAGTACTAAACTAATGGGCCAAATTCCAGGGTGGTCCATGGACCACCCTGGCCACCCTACAGCTACGCCACTGCCTGGACTGGACCTGGATGGTCTTGGGCTTCTTGGGCTCGGGCGGCGGCAGCTTCTCGACGGTGACGGTCAGCACGCCATCGCGGCACACGGCGGAGATCTTCTCCATGTCGGCGTTCTCGGGCAGCACGAACTTGCGCATCAGCTTGCCCATGCGGCGCTCCATCCGCAGGTACTTGGCGTCCTCCTTCTCCTCCCTCCTCCGCTCGCCGCTGATCACCAGCACCCGCTCGTCCTCCACCTGCACCTGGATGTCGCTGGAACCCAGCCCCGGCATGTCCACCACGAACGCGTACGCGCCCGGCAGCTCCTTCACGTCGGTGGGGGTGGCCACCATGGCGCGCGCGTCCCGGACGTAGGCACGCGTCGGGCCCTGCTTCTCGCCGGCGGCGAGGCCGGACTCGCCGTCTGGGATGTCCAGCAGGTGCTGCAGCGCCGTCATCATCGGGTTCTCCAAGCCGAACACCATGCCCGCCATTCTCGCTCGCGGATGTCGAGCTCGATCGATCTCCTCGGGTTGGACTGTGTTGGATTGCTTGTTGAATTTTGTGGAATGCTTTGGTGGGGATGCGATGGCGAGGAGGAGGGAGTTTATGTAGGTCGCCGGAGGCGGGGAGTCTGGAAGGTGATGGAAACTTCTGAAAGGTGGTGAACGAGCGCGGAGCAGTGGGGAGTCCTTCGGGCACCGATGGAGAAAGTTCTAGATCGACTTTCCGAATTGGCGGTGCGGTAGCTTTGGGCCCACATGTCATTCGGGGCAGCAGAGAGATATATTTTTTTCTATAGGATACGCAAAGAGAGATTTTCTTTTTGAAAAAGGAAAAACGCATGCCGAGATCTTTTTTTAGGGATACGTGCAATACGGAGTGAGTCCCTAGCCAAATATGTTGACCCTCAGCGCCGCCGCCGCCAAGAGAACCAGCTCTTTCGGTGCCGTCTTTCGGCGACTCCCCTCCGCTAGCGACCTTTTGGTCGTCGGTGGTGACGGGTCACCGGATCCCATGCATGCGGATCATTTTAGTTGTAGGTTCTAGTACCCTAATAACTTAGGTTTTTAGATCGTTCGACATATTGGCTTCGGCGGCCGCGGCGGCGATGCTAAATAAAAAAGCTTCGGATTCTTCTTCGGTGAGGCGGTCGTCTTTATAATCGGTGATGGATTTGGAAACCAGTTCGTTCAAGAGGAGATGTCGTGACGGTGGCGGCATCCTTATGATGAACTTGTGTTCTCGGATTCCGCCGTTGTGACGGCCTATGTGTTAGAATAAATCCGAGGCATACCGTCGATCATCTGAGGACCGAGCAAATCACACGAGCACGACACCGAGTTTTGTTAACGAGGTTCACCGATATGACTACAACCCCGGGGCCTGACTATGGGAGCTCCTTCCCATGACACCGCTACAATACCGCACCCGGTCGTCCTGGACGCTGACACATGTCGTCGGCTTTCACTGCGTTCATGTGCTATTATGTTGGCACATGTTACATCGTGCGTCTATCCCCTCATTATATAAGAGGCCTAGGGGTACATAACACAACTCCTACCTTGTCTACACACAGTCCAAATCTAGGTCCAACTGTAACCTACCTTGTACAAATAATATTCCACACAACTCTAACAAACTCCATCTTGGCAAATATTCTTAACCACCTTGGATTCAAGAGAACCATCGATCATCACCGACTGATTCTGAGTATCACGCCTCTATTAGAGCACTGGGCCCCAGTCCGATCCACGTGTCTCTTGCTACCCCACTGTAATAGGCTCCGACTCTCCATGCATTTACGCCGTAGCCCCTCCATTAGCACCGAGTGAAGTCGTCCATCAAACTCCAGCTCCACCTTCAACATGACTCCATGGTGGTTGTACTGCCACCCCCGCGCCCTGTCAACTTCAAACTCTCATGTGTACACAAACCTTGAATCAACCCTGCGCCAGTGTCTTGTCGAGGCCGCACAAGCCCTCAGACCTGCACCACGTGTTTCCACGCCCCAGAAGCCGGCCACCATCGGCATCACGCTCCTATGTCGTAGTCGCTGAAATCACCGCCGTCTTCTTCTTGACCAACATCCTTGTCGATCCATCAGACTGTCTAGTCCGACCCAATCGAACTTATCCAACTGCAACAATGCTTCACCCTGCATCATGTCCGTCCCGCACATATGTGCATTGGTTGACGCCTTGCACATGCATGATCCCTCCTAGCACGTTTCAGACTCCTCGAATCCTGACCGTGACTGCCATCCATACACAGACTGTGTACCAAACAAAGAAGATCGAAATAAAATCCCTTGTAGCCTTCCTGTGTGCATGTATCAAAGAAGATCAATGACAAGCTAGCTGTTAAACTCCAATCCGTCACACGTAGCTTCTGGACTTATATTTCTTTCCCTTTTAGACAGCATCACAATATCTGACCCTTGGTCCTTGTGCTTTTTTTTTTCTCTCAAACAAATCTCCGGCTCATTCGTTTTTTTAGGGATCTGCACGCTCGTTCGTAGACCCGTACGCCCGCTCTTTTTTTTGATCAGGTAAACCTTTATTTCTCACAGAATGGCAAGATCGTTAACAAAGTGTTGAGAAATAAAATCTGGGATGGCACCTTCCCAAAAATCTGAAGTTCTACTAGCAAGAGAGGATTTAGCTATACAATCAGCTACATAATTTGCCTCCCTAGGACAGTTGCTTACTTCATATTTCGTGTAATCCAAGCCCATCTCTCTGCTCTCCAGAAGGATAGTAGCTTCCTGTCTCAGGAGATTTTCTGAGTTGACAGCTGACACTGCATTTGAGCTATCCGACTCAATATGCAGGATATTGCACCTGATCTTGCCTGCCAAGTAGAAACCATTCCTGATAGCAATCATCTCTGCCGCATCTACCGACACCACATGCGGTATGAACCATGAAGCCGCTGCTATGAAATCACCATGTTCATCTCGTGCAACAGCTCCTGTGCCTGCATTCACATTTTCAGCGCAGAAAGATGCATCCACATTGATTTTAACTACTCCTCTCGCTGGCTTGTGCCACATACGATCACACGCAATGAACGGCTGGTTCAGAGTTAGTGAGCGGATAAAGTTTGTTGCTAAAACTCTTATCGATATTGCGGTTTGGTGTGCCTGTCGGACTGCCTCGCCCTTAACAATTTGTCGTCGTTGCCACCAGATATACCAGCTTGCCACCGCAGTTAGCTCTGCCACAGATAGACTGTCTTTTGGCTCATGACGCTCTAAGAGAGTAGCCAAAGTGAATGCACCTGACCGGTCCTCTGGAACGGCTTGCATAACTTCATCCTCGAGTCCCAGCTCCTTCCATATATCATTCGCTCTTCTACATGTGAATAAACAGTGTTGTGAATCTTCGTATCCTATCTGGCATATCGGGCATTGTCCCGTGACTGGTATATGCCGTTTGGTAGGGTTCCGTGGCATGGTAGAACTCCCCTGATCACCTTCCATACAAAGTGTTTAACTTTGCCCGGGATTCTCAAACCCCACACACGTTTCCATATATGGTTTGGTCGACTGCCTTGTGCTGCATTTATATTCTCCCTGCGTCCAAACTGGTGCTGGAATTGCATATGATATGCCAATCGAACTGTAAATATACCAGATCGATTATAATGCCATGATACAAAGTCGTCCATCAGCTGCACTCGGAGAGGAATTTGTAGGATCCGGTGTACATCAACTGGCCAGAACACATCTCTGATCAAAGTCTCATCCCATTGTCTAGTATAAGGATCAATTAATTCCTCCACCTTGCTCAATATGGTTGCTCCCCTTGGGGTTATAATTTTCCTATTCTCACTAATGGGTATCCAGGGATCATTCCAGATATTTATTTGTGTTTTGCTAAGAGCGGGCGTACGGGTACCCAACTTTTAAGAGAGGATGCATCTGGCGTGTGGGTACCCGTACGCCCGCTCTTAGCAAAACACAGCGCCATTGCACGCCTGCAAGCCAGCTAGCGGGCCACACCGTCATGGGCCACAACCCAACACACGTCCCTGCGCACGCTACAGGTCTCCAGTCCGAGCCACTCCTGGACGGAAAATGCTATTTCAAATTTTGTTCACAATTTAAAAAATGTTCACAATTTTATAATTTAGTTCACGAATTTTGAAATTTTATCATATTTCAAACAAAATGTTTGCAGTTTAACGAAAAATGTTCACAATTTTATAATTTTGTTCATGAATTTGAAATTTGTTCATGTTCGAAAATTTGTTCATAATTCAAAAATGTTCACGGTTTTTGAAATTTGTTCGCAGATATGAAAATGTTCACAATTTTTTAATTTTGTTCACGAATTTGAAATTTATTCATTTTTTATAATTTGTTCAAAATTAGAAAACAAATTACGGTTTCAAAGTTTGTGCAGAATTAGAAAAATGTTCACAATTTTATAATTTTGTTCACGAATTTGATTTTTTCCATGTTTCAAAATTTGTTCACAATTCAAAAAATATTTGCAGTTTCAAAATTTGTTTGCAGATTCGAAAAATGTTCGCGGTTTTATAATTTTTTCACGATTTTGAATTTTATTCATGTTTCAAAATTTGGTCACAATTCTAAAAATGTTTACGGTTTCAAAATTTGTTCAAAATTCAAAAAATATTCACAATTTTACAGTTTGTTCATGTGAAATTTGTTCATGTTTCAAAATTTGTTCACAATTCGAAAAAATATTCACGGTTTCAAAATTTGTTCACAATTTGAAAAATGTGTGGTTTCAAAATTTATTCACATTTCAAAAAATGTGAATAATTTTTAAAACAATAATTGGTTTGGGTAGGAGGCTCTGCCGCGTTTGTGAAAAAGTATCATACGTTCAAAAAATTACTCAAACCTTGAAATTTTTCTCGGGATTTTGTCAAATAATGTTAAGTCCGGAACTGTAGTTAGTTTCTTAGAGTTTTCCGCTGTATTTTGTTCGGTGGTTCTCTTCTAACGCAGTGGTTGGCACCCAGGTCGCGCAAGCAGGCATCACGTAATCCTTTTTTTTGCGATTTTTAGACTCGTATACGCAGTGCACTGAATGGGCCGGCCCAGTCTATGCCCCCTGTGCGACGGGGCGTTTATTTGCCGCAGAACGCGGCAAATAGGAGCTTCCCTCCTAGACCGCGCAAGCGTTCAACGTTAGAGCATCTCCACTCGTCCCCCGGCGCCGAAAAATCGGCCCAGTCGCGCTCCCAGGACCTTGTTTATCGCCGGTATGGGCCGAAATAATAGCCGGTGAACCCGAGCCGAACCCAAGCCCCCGGGGCTCGCCTGGGGGCCCCGGCCGAAGCAAAAAGGCGCGTGGGTCCGCTCTGTCGGTGAGAGACAGCCTTTTCCCGCCGATCCCCCGCTTTTCCCCTCCATTCCCCTCTTCTGCCCCTCTTCTCCCGCCATTCTCGTCCCTCTCCCTGCCATCCGGCCGCCATCCCGCCATGCCGCCAAAGAAGTATTCGACCCCTCGTGCCG